ACTGGGGATTGAACTCAGGACTTTGTGCTTGCCAGGCTGGCACTTACGCCGCTGAGCTATATCCCCAGCCCCAATAAAATTTTTCTTGAAAATATTTTTTGTGTGTTTTTGAGACAGGGTCTCTATAGTGCAGGCTGGTATTTTAATGTGCAAAGTTATGAACATACAGAAACACTGAACTGTACAATGAACACCCATATGCTTACTGCTTGGATTGCTCAAGTCTCAGCATTTTGCTATGTTTGCCTTAGCAAATACCTGTGTGTCTATTTATCTATCTGTCTGAGACAGAAGAGAAGGTTCCAGTCCTCCCCAAAATGTATATTTTATTTCTCCTCAGTTGTCCCAAATATCTTACAGTCAGCCTACCTACATTAGGCACCTCACAGCCACTCCAAGTTTAGCTGCAGCAAGTTTCTAACATAGACCTATCTCAGATGACTTCACCCTGAAGCCTCTTTGCATGATTTTGCCCTGCTATAACCCTCCTCATTCAGGTCTGGGAGGGCTCTTCTCTAGCCCATGACCAAATAAGAAGCCTGATGCTGCACATTTATAAACTCATCACCCTTTTTTTCCTTTATAAGCTGTGCCCCTGGGCTGGCAAGATAGCTCTGCAGTCTAAAGCACTGCTTAGGCATGTGCACAGGGACTGCATTTGGATTCCTGGTACCATGTGCTGCACCAGCCTGCCCCCAAGGTGGGCTGAGTCAGCCACAAAAAAAAAATAAATAAATAAATAAATAAATAAAGCAGTGCCCCATTCCCTGAGTGGGTTCAGCCCTTGTGCTGTTCCCCCTTATGCTGAAGTGTAATTCCTAATGAAGCTTCTTTATGGACAGTACAATGTTACCTACTTGTGATTTCTATCTTAGTATAATATGTTGAGCTTATGGTACAGTAAGAACTGGTAACACTAAAGGCCACTACTAGCACTGAAAATGGCCAGCAGCCAGAGCTGGTAATGCTGAAAGTGGCTGGTGCTAAAAACTGGGCTAGAAACACTGAAAGTACTAGCAGAGAACTATAGATAACAATGGAAAACTGCTGGGAGCACCATAACCAAAACAGTTTCTGAGGTTCTGATGGGCAAGGAGGGCTGTTAACACTAAATATAATTATAACCACTTGCATTCAAAGCACAGGACTGTTAACCTGAAAAATCTACTTTGCCTACTCATGATTTATACATAAATTGAGCATGAACCCCCAGCTAATTGGGAAGCCAATGCACAGATTCTTCTTTTTTTGTGGAACTAGGTCCATCTTTTTTTTTTTTTTTTTGTGGAACCGGGGATTGAACTCAAGACCCTTGCGCTTGCCAGGGAAGCGCTTACTCCACTGAGCCATCTCCCCGGCCCCTTTTGTGGAACTAGGGATTGAACTCAGGCCCCTGAACTTCCCAGGCAAGCGCTTATTCTGCGGAGCCATCTCCCCAGCCCCCAAACAAATGAATCTATGTCTCCTTTCTCCCAGTCTTGCATAACTGGGGATTGAACTCAGACCCTTGGGCTTGCCAGGGAAGTGTTTATTCTACTGAGCTATCTTTCTGGCTCTTCTTTTTTCCCTTTTGGTACAAGGAATCAAACTTAGTATCTTGTGCCAGGCACTATGCCATTGAGCTACATT